TTCTGGGGACATCAGACACACTGAGCTGCTGTGGCCAGAAGATCATTACTTTTAATGAGCACAGAGTTCTCCAAGACATTACAGCAGAATAAAGTCAAACACCAAAGGCCAGCCATGGATGTTCCATCCAGTTGTTGCTTTAGTTCTTTTTTCCACAGGATTATTCAAAAGGATAAAAAATAAAGCCAATTCATTCACTCTGCCAACTTTTGTCCTAAGTAGATTTCGCACTGCAAAGCTAACACAGCCTGACTTTTCTGGTCCCTGTAGGGTGGTACCTGACATTTGCGTTAAAAACGACATTGCTCAACTCACCAAATGTTCAAACATTATCTTCCTTTCAGATATAATAAAGAAATATTGGCTATCCCAATTCCATGTAACTATAAAGACTAATATCTGAGGAAGATGGGTATTTTCTGGAAAAGGGGTAATGAACTTATTATTTTGCTACATGGCAAATGCAGTTGTGTTGATGAGAATGTTTAATTGATCATTCTCTGTGGCTGGTAATAAAGACTGTTACAACTTTATTAGTAGGTGCTTCTATTGACACAGACTCCAGAAGGTCACTTGATTGTGCAGCAGATGCTGAACAATGTTCCCATTAAGCTGATTTTGTGGATGTTTTCATCTCCTAGCTGTATGGGTTTGGAATGAGTTTCAAGATTTTTTTAAAGAAGGAAGTGGGTGGCAACTCTTTTGTTACCCAACATCACTTGTGTTTGTGGAAGACAGAGTTCAACAGGTTGTTTTAAAGAAAAACAAAAGTGTGCAGATGTGACTTGTTGAGGGCTCAAGAATGGTGAGATCATCCCTCACTGCAGTTTGTCCTCTCCTCAGGTAATCGCTCTGGCTGAAGCAGCTGAGGAAAACCAAGCCAATCTGCTGCAGTCGTTCACCAGGCTGAAAAGTGCCACCCATCTGGTGATTCTGCTGATTGGGCTGTGGCAGAAGCTCAATGCCGACCAGGTTGTTATTCTGGAAGTAGCATTTCTGCCCCTGCAGGAGGACACGCAGGCTTTGGTAAGGACCCACAAGCCTGCCTCAAGCAGCCAGGGCTGTTGGAAAGATTTTGGTCTTGGGACGATACCACATAGCTGTCTGTGCTTTCTAGGGTGTCGCATGAATGCTGCGTTCAAAAATCCTGCCTTCCTTTTCTTTAAGCCATGATAAAATGTCACCCGAAGGCCTTTTTTTCTAGAGCTGTCTTAAATATAGGTATATAGTACATTTTTATGTGATATCCTGTCTGCTTGTATGTGCTCGGCTGTCACTCAACAGCCAGGGAAGCAGCAGTCATTTGATGGCTGGGGAGGTGGCAGTAAGCATTCAGATTAGCTAATCCCTTCCTGTTCTGGCAGAAAAAGCAATCCAGCCATTGCCATTTGCTCAGTGTTCTTACATTTAA